ACAAATGCACTGCTCAGTGGATAAGGAACTGGCTGGACAGTCGCACTTAAAGAGTTGCAGTCGATGGCTTGATGTCCAAGTGGAGACCAGTGATGAGTGGCGTTCCTCAGGGGTCGGTTCTGAGACCTATACTCTTCAACATCTTTGTTGGTGATGTGGACAGTGGGGTTGAGTGCACCCTCAGCAAGTTTGCCGATGATACCAAGCTGTTTGGCGAGGTAGACGCGCTGGAGGGGAGGGATGCCATCCAGAAGGACCTGGACAGGCTGGAGAGGTGGGCCCAAGCCAACCTCATGCAGTTCAACAACGCCAAGTACAAGGTCCTGCATCTGGGTCGGGGCAATCCCAAGCACAAATACAGGCTTGGCAGGGAATGGCCGGAGAGCAGCCCTGAGGAGAAGGACCGGGGGGTGCTGACTGCTGGCTCATGTGGAGCTTCTTGTCAATGTGCGATCGCAGCCCAGAAGGCCAACTGTATCCTGGGCTGCATCAGCAGTAGTGTGGCCAGCAGGGAGCTGATTCTGCCCCTGTACTCTACTCTCATGAGACCCCACCTGGAGTACTGCATCCAGCTCTGGAGTCCCCAACATAACAAGGACATGGACCTGTTGGAGCGCATCCAGAGGAGGGCCACGAGGACGATCCAACGGCTGGAGCAAGGCCAAGCTGGATGTGGCTTTGGGCACCCTGGTCTAGTGGGAGGTGTCCCTGCTGATGACATGGGGGGTTGGAACTTGATCTTCAAGGTCCCTTCCAACCTAAACCATTCTATGATTCTGTGATCTTGTGAAAAGCAGCTTTGTGGTGTGGGGGAGGGTTACACTTGTGTAGACTTTTATAAACAAGGATATCTTGACTTCAGGGAGACATTCGGGGCAGAGCAGCCAATTATAAAAGATTAGGAAAATAGGGCACACAGTGAAACATTTGCAGCAAGGGAGAGCTGCAGGATTTTTGCTGAGGGGACATTTCCAGAAGGCTTAGGGACTGGGCATCCCTAGCAAATAAGAACAGAAGAACCATGCAGGTTAAAAGTTACCAAGCACTTAGGCACTGAAACAAGTTACAAAATCATTTTCTCTAGTCAGACCAGACATGGATCATAAAAGGTGGCTCAAGCATGATGCTGGATCCTCCTCTGACTCGCCTGCATAGTTCTGGCTAACCCTGTGTAGCCCTGATGACTTGGTGCAGGTCCCTTGGGCAGAGTGCAGGCGCGGGTGCTGCCAGATGTGCTGTGGGGCAGCTGTGCCTGGAGGCCTGGCACCCCTCTGGGGGTAACATTGTCCTCAGAAGATCGATGTTAGAGCCGTAAGGTTAGATCTGTGCTAGCACCCGCGCTACTGCAGTGTCGTTATGTTCCTTGTAAATGATCTGTGGGTAAATTTTTTGCACAAATACGGGGTCCTGTAGGAATGTTTCTGGAGGATTGGAAATGCGGCTTTCCTCATTTGAGAAGCTAATTTTATATACATACATTTATGTATAAAAGTGTATATATTAAAATTATATTAAATTATAATTACATAATAATTATGTGTAATAATTAATACTCACATTAAGTATAATTAATGATTAATAATTACATGTAAAAATGTCTTTGATGCAGACTGTTTTAATGTAACTTCTTTCTGTTGTGTACCGGCAGCTAATTTCCTAGAAAAAAAAAGTTATTGGCGCTTGCATAAAACCGTTAATCACTCCTGCTTGTGCAGCAGCGCTGGGCTGAACGTTGCAGAGCTGTGTACCAGGGCACATGGGAGCTGCTCCTGCTCCACAAGGAAAAGCAGGAGGCTGCCCCAGATAAATGAATAGTTCCTTTTTCCTTTCTGTCCGGCAGTATAATCTAACAAACTTGAACAAAATCTTAATTTATGCTGAGGCTTTCTGGCTGCTTGCTGCCTCAGTAATTTAAGGAGTGAGGTATCCAAGTTGCCTGGCTATTAACTTTTTACTCGCCAGCTCTCAAAAAGCTGGGTGGGTGTCCGGTTGCATTCTCACTGAAATCCTGACATTTACTCTGCTGCACGAATTAAAAATAGCAGCTGCTGTTGATTTCAGCATATCGGATGATTGCAGCAGTGCAAAGTAGAGAGCGTGTGGGCTGCTGTCCTTCCTCCTGAGGACACTCACCGGTGGTAACTTGAAGAAGTTTTAAGTACTCACATGTCTCAGGAGCACAAAAAAGGAAAAAAAAAAATGGTTTGTGGATGTATGAGGAGGAAGGGAAGGAAAGGGAAGAAGGCTTGTTCTGTTATGTAAAATGCGATTCTTTGTTTTTCACTTACATTGAAGCAGCATTTAAAACAAGGATTACTCGGCCAGTCAACATTACTTTACCTACATGCCAATTCACAAATGAGCATAACACTAACACAAAATATGGAGAAAGAGAAGGTTTTGGGTTGACTTTGAGGTCCTGGTATGATTCCGTTTGGTTTTAGTATGCTTTTTCACGGAGGTGCTTGTGCTTTAGCTCTCAGAGCTTTCCCCACAAGCAAGTGAAAGGCAAATGGTTAAAGGAGTGTATACAGTGGCAGTGATACTTACGTCTGTAGAGGAGTTTTACCTATCATTCTTCAATGGGAACAAAGAAAATAAGGATCACAGACAAAAAGTGATATTCCTAAAGGTTGAAGGCAATGCTCCTTAGAACTCTAAAACTGCCGGTATACGTTCTTCAGTTCGAACAGGACAAAGGGAGAGCAAATAGCTCCTGGGGTGGGAAGTCTGTTCAAGAAAACCATTGACACAGAGAAGACCAGAATATTAAGCTGCTCTTGTGATTTCATTAGAGAAATTAAAGTGGTTATAAATGTACAGCATAATTTGGACATCTTCTTAAAGTTATTTGTGACATGGGGAGGTTTTATTAAAATTACTTCGGACAAATAGACTTTGCTCTTTCAGATTCTTTCACCTTTATGTGAACCATCAGTCTATGCTACGTGCATCCAGGAACCTTGGCGCAAACCAGCTAAGTTAGTGAGAATTGCAGCTGTCCAGAGTCAGTGAAGGAAAGAAACACAGACAAAGGTGCTTGTGTTAGCAGTTATTTCTTTCAGTAAATAATTTCTTTCAGTAAATAATGTTAATAACACAGTCCTTGTCAGCAAAGCAGTAATGAACCATCAATGATTGTTTCCCAGGGCTGGAGCCATCAAGTCCAGTTTAAATGTTTCTGTCAACATCTAAGCACAGAATACAAATTCCTTAAACATCTGTGTAACTCTTGTCTTGTGCTGGGCCACCTGAATTCTTAGGAACTAAAATAATCATTTTCTTCCCTTAAGTATACCTAGAACTACTTGTTTATAGAATGGAGATGCTTGTTATGCATCCTGCACCTTGGTAATGAAAATACTTACCCTGTAAGTAACAGCTGTAGCATGCTCCATTTTTCTTAATTTTGGATTTAATGGTTTAGTGCAGTGACCAGCAGTGTAGAAGATGTAGGTCTAATTTCAACCACTGTCTCACAGATAAATTAAGTAGGAAGAGATGTTGCCCGGGGAAGCTGTCATTTACTTCCTTTTGGAATTATTCTATGAAAAACGGGATTTCCTTGGCTCAGAAAAGAGAAAAACTCTTAACAGCTAGGTCATACCCTAGAAGTGGTATCTGGTCTCCAGCACCCCTGCACAGTTGATAGTCTCAGAAATTCACATTTCCGGTTTGTGGCTGGACCCAGTCTAAAGTCTATGGGTTGGTTTTGGGGTTTTTTGTTACCTGTCTGGGCATTGTGTGGACTGGGAAGCGTGCAGCCCCCACACATGGGAAGGAGGTGGTGTTGTGCTGAACTGTTCAAATATGAATAAGATGTTTGCAGTTTAAGCTAGTAGTTAAAAACTGCTTGGATTATCCTTCCTTGGGAAGGAAGAATGAATTGCCACAAAACATCAGAAAGAAGATAGTTTGGTAGGCATGACTGAAGTGTTTGTGTAGAAGGCTTAGCCTTGGCTGAAAGAGAAGTGCTGTATGACCACAATGCAGACATCTTCATTGCATGATTTAATTTACTCCAACTTGGCATTCATAGGCTCAACATGAATATATATATATGAATTTTATATACTGAGCTGTACAGGACATTCTCTTCAATTTTATGAAAAAATCATGTCCACAGATTCCTGAATTTTGGTTTCTTCTCTCCAAGATTATTACAGTCCTGCAATGTTGGGCCTGAAAACTGATCAGGAAGTCCTTGGAGAACTTGTGAAAATGAAAGTGCCGGCTGTGGCAGAGCTGATGGAAAGACATGGAGTCATGTGGACCCTAGTGGTATCACGCTGGTTTATATGCTTGTTCATTGACATTCTTCCAGTAGAGGTAATCAGTAACCTAAAGTTCTCAATATACACTCATGATTATTATTTGTAGTGCTTCAGTAATAATTACCTACTGGAAATCAAGAAGCTATAATCTGAATTCTCTCCTTTCCTGCAGACTGTGCTCCGAATATGGGATTGTTTATTCTATGAAGGGTCAAAGATCATCTTCCGTGTGGCCTTAACATTAATTAAGCAACACCAAGCTTTTATTTTGGAAGCCACGAATTTCCCTGACATTTGTGATAAATTTAAGCAGATCACCAAAGGAACACTTGTAACCGAGTGTCACAGCTTCATGCAGGTAAATCCTCTGCAGCTTTTAGTTGTTACAAACCGAAATGTTTTGCTTGGTTAAAAAGGTGGATACAGTTAGGAGAAACGTATCTGTAAATAATTGTCAAAGGGATGAAGAATGTTTTCATATAAGAAATGTAAACCTTTTAAAGATTTTTTTTTTTTTTTAAGAATTATCATCTAAATCCATATATATTAAGACATTCACTTTATCTGTTTCACAGGGAAAAAATTCTTTTTGCCCTTTTTACCAGTTAAGGAAGGAAGTCTGATCAGAAAATAACTTCAGTGCATTCTTTCAGTGAACCATGCATTGTGTTCCTGTGTTTTCAGGTGAATTGTAATGGAATATTGTAGAATATACACAAAGTGAATTTTAACTTGCATTGATAAATCTTCATAGTGCCAGAATATAAAGCATTATGTTTAGTCAAAGAACAAAAAGGTAGCACCAAGTTCTTTTTTCCAGGCAAAATCCATGAAGTTGTGTTCAAGTCTTATGATAACCTGCAAACTAAGAATTATTCTTGTAAACTATTAATAGATTGCATGCCAATTCTGTATAGAAAACTAGGTTCAGAGCTTAACTCCGAAGACTAAATGATGTTAATTGGAAAAAATATAACAGGAGTACATCTGTCATTAATCACTTGACCGACTATCATTGTTTACTAAGTCTGCAAAAAACTACATCCTAATAGGTGACTTCTACGCCCAAGAGAGCTCATGTCAGAGCTGGTCAGAGAAGAAAAATAGGTTAACTTGTTAGTGTTTCTGAGCCTTTTAATTAAAGGAGCAAGGGAAAAATAAGTCACAGGTACAGCTTAATTTAGAGGGGAGATGGTTGAGGATTTTCTCATTCCATAAAGGGTTTACAATAAGAGTTTTGATAAACGTTAACTGCAGTGAGAATACCAGTTCAGAGGCTGATACAACTGCTTGACCTTGAAGGACTTCCCCCCTCTCCTACCCCTTAATTACATTACATTTTACAGCAGCTGTTTTTAGAAAAATCAACTATCTCTTTCTTGCAGTTACTATGAATAAAACATTGATTTTACCTGCGTTAGTTAGGGGGCAAGGGGGCTTTCAAGGCAATTAAATAAACAATTTAGGTTAGGTTCTTATCTATCTTTGAAACACAGTTGGGGGTGGGGTTTGTGGTTTTTTTTCTTTCCAGAAGTACAGATAATGGAGGTGATGACAGTTGAATATTGTATGCCTCTGTTCCCCCTGAACAAGATGTTTTTAGTTTAATGCAAATGCAGACTTCTTTACCAGAACACTGTTCAAAACGGGTTCAATTATAATCTCATCTCCAGAGTTGTCAGTTGCAACTACAGAGAACTGAGGGACCCACACATCTTAACTGTAGAATAAAGTGCATAAATTTGCAGCTTGCTTCATATAGTTTTGTTCAGTCAGAAGTTTTAGATGAAGCAGTGAAAACAAAGGTATTGTTCTTGAGCATCAAGCCAAAGCAAAAAAAAAAAAAAAAAATTAACAGATGTGTGACAGCATTTCAAATGCCTCAAATAAGCTCAGTAGAGAAGAACTAAGGTAATACAGCAAGGGATTAAGACTGATTTTTTGCAGTAGGAACATATTGTTGTAGGCATATATATGTTCTAGAGCCTGAACAACCTATGCTAGTACCGCATGAGAAATGCACTGATGCTTTGTAGCATTACCCAGGATAGCTTCCTGTGTTTTAAATATGCCTGCCATCCACCAACACAAATGCCTTCTAAAATTATTTTAACTGGACGCTTACATTCACACTAGCTTTTGTATAACTTCCAGCACTTGTTATGAGCGGCAGGTTTGCCACTTCTTTACAGCAGAGTAGATGAAGATGCTGCCCTGTTACAAGAACGCCAAACAGCAGTAAGCTTTTTCACCGTATGGATATCAATGCAGGGATTTCACACTTCAGAAAATCACACAAGAATTCCAGCACATCATCCAAAGACAGGTTTTTAACTAAAAATTTTCTCCTTTTGCCCCCAGAAAATATTCACAGACCCTGGAAGCTTGTCCATGACAACAATCAACAAACTCCGAGAGACTTGCAGAGAGAAGTTGCTTTCTCAGGGATAACTCACTAGATTTAACCAGGTGGTCAGATACTACAGCAATTGACACATTCCTCTATTTGCACTGACTAAAGCACACTTTTAAGCTTTCCATGAGTTAACTGACACTTGACCAATTTTCCTGCCTTTCAAGTAAGTGTTGTTAACACTTTGTACTGTATGTCAGACTTCATAACTGGAATTGGTGGTTCTGTTTTGTGTTTCTTGTGGGTTTTTGGCTTTTTTTTTTTTTTAAAGGATTAAAGTGTTTTCAGAGTAGAATGTGATCAGTGTCAGGACACTCCTTCTAAAAAAAGCAGTCACCATTCTTGTCTTTTCAGGGCATTTTGTAATGTTAAAAACCCCAGGTGTATAAAATTACATATCCTTCCTACTGTATTAACTGTGACACCACTATCATTTGTATAAAATAAATTTATTTAAATTTGTCAGAACCTGTTTCTTGGTGTGAAGAGAGCAAACTAGCTGATCTTTTTCCTGACTGCCAGTAGTTGGCTTCCTTTTTCCTTGCTGCTGTCACTTCAGGAACTCGGTAAATAAGGCAAAGTGCAGGGCAAGACAGCAATGAGGAAGGTGATCTTTATCTTCACTAACAGTTACTGTATAACAGCTTTTCAGGTAAAGGCAGCAAGGAACACGTGCAAGCCCAGGCTACAGAAAGCAGCAGCAAAGCTTTTCTATAACCACTCTTAATATTTTTATAGGCTCATTCAGGATTTTCGAGCTCTAGCACAGTACATAAGTAATTTGACTCAAATCTGGAAGCAGCATTTCCCACTTTGTTGTAAGGGATGCTGACAGTAGATGCTATACTAATACTTTGTGCTGGTGTACTGAGGTTGCACTACAGGTGCTATATTCTCACATACCTGTGTGCCTAAAAATCTGGGGAAAAACACTTGTAAAGGTAAGCACAGACTTCTTCCATGACAGGGAGAGACATCGGGCAGTTCCAAAGCTGTACCTTAATGCAAGTCTAAATATCCTACCCCTGGGCAGAAACAAACCAGTAGCACTGGCACTTAGGCCCCTTTCCAGCCCTGCTGGGGCCAGGTGCCGGTGAATTCCTTTTCTGTCCTTGCAGAGCCCTCTCGTGGCCAAATCCTTTCCCTCACCTTCCTGCTGGGGAAAGAAGACTTGAGAGGCCAGCAATTTATGCTTTTTATTCTCCCTGTGGAACAGCTACTGTGGAAAGCCTCACCTAACACCACATTCCTTTTCAAACTCTACTCCAAGCTCTCTTCATTCATTGTCAAGGAAGGTCTATCTCTTTTTTTACCCCTGCAGACTGAGGTTTCTTTTCCATTCCTCAGCAGGGAAAAGAACCCCACAACTTTTCAGAGGAAGTAGATGAGTACTCTTCTAGGCAAGTAAAGACAGCTACTCGACAGTATGATTCCAAGCTATCCCATCATTTATGGTACCAGACATACATCCTTTTTTCCCCTCAAGTACTGAACTGTAAGTACATTAGCAGTACCATAGTTCTTGTATGTCACCAGGTATTAGGAAATACTAGTTTATTCACCACTGGCAAAATGCATAGTTTCCAGGTGCCTTCAAGGTAACAGGGCAGATGGTCCAAAGTATACCAGCGTTACTGCCACATGTTCAGTTCTCCCTCTTGGGAGAATAGTATTCTGTGCAGTGTTTCAGTGTGCCTTGGTTCCTGCCCTGTGTAGCTAGTACTGGTAACACCAAAGCATTACTGCAGGAAGGAGTCAGGGAAACTTTAAACACAAAGGTTCATTTCCAAGCACATTACAACACACAGACCTCGGATGACATGTGTTTCCTACTCTGTGGCAAGAATCCAACTTCAAAATAAAACCTAAAATGTCATTTATACAGTCCTTATACTATCTTAGCAGCACTTTCAGAAAGCAATGCTTAGCAGGGCAGACCAATACCTTGACATTTCTCAGCAAGCAGCAATGTAATGGAAGCGTTAACTTCTCCAGGGCTCAGGTTACTGATACACAGAAGTTTTACCTGTTTCCAAACACAAAGTCCAAAACAAGGGGCTGTTCTGAAGACACATACACAGTTAAGCCTCACCTTTGTGCCACAGAGAAAAATTAAACACTTGTTTAACACAACTCCACACTCAGAATTGTTTCAAGCTTCCAAAGTAGAGCCCAACCAAGACTTTAGTACTTATCAAACAGTCAAATGTTTTTAAGAGTGATCAGCAACACTAAGGTATACAGAAAAAAAAAGTGTCTTTATTAGCATTGTTACAGGCAATGCATACATAAGAACTGATCCTTAAAGTGTACAACCCCCCAGCCAAGTTTAAAGCAAGAGAATCAGCAGATTGAGATCTATATTGTACACATGTGCAGTAACAGGATCTCTCTGGACCTTCCAACAGAAGAGACAGAAATCACTTTACAAAAAAAGGTAAATAAAAATAACACCCATTTTAAAAAAGTACCAGCTCCTAACGAGCTGGCAGAGCATCAAAAATATCAAACAAGGGAGTTGTCCAATCATAAAGAGTTCCTGTAAGGTTTGAGTATTGCGTTGTTCACACCCTGCATATGCCAGGCATTGAGTTTAAAGCTTAGTAAAAAATACACACCTAACAGACAAGGTGGAGTTTAGATTTTAAATTTTGATTTTGTCAGTTGTTACTAAATTTCTTTAAATGCATCATCAGTATAATTATCGTCATCGCTGGATGGCAGCAGTATGAAGAATGAACCTTTTCCCTTTGTTAAGAGTTCTGAAATAGAGTCAGTGTGAATTAGCAACATCCCTCTCTGGAATCTTTAGCTGACATTACCTTATGCCAATTCCAAAAAAGCACCCTTAAAAACTTTTAGCTTGTTTCTAAGTGGGTAAATATTTAAACTAGTTAGCAAAATTAAACACCAGGATTTTCAGAAGTTATTTTTGTGCATAGTTAAATGCTGCAAGATGATTTCACATTTAATAAAGCAGACTTTAAGAAGAAGCAATTCGCAAGAAAAGGTGTTCCCTTACAATATCAATCTTAGCTCAGGGGAAGTGTGTGGGGTTTTTTTTTCCCAGCTTCTTGCAATTGCTTTTCATCAACACTGGGTTTTAGTGCAAGTCATTAAATTGTTTGATATCCAGCATGGCTCCTCTTTCTGCCAATCAAGTAAGCAATCAAGACAATTAGAACAAGACCAGCAAGGGCTGCACCGACTATTATAGGGATCAGCATGTTATTTTCATCCAGTTGACATTCTTCCACTGAAGAGAAAGAAAAGAGACCCATGTTAGGCACTAGCGCACCAACAGATGGCTATATCCACAACACAAGCTTCTGCTCCCAGCACATAGATAAAACTGGCTCCGGTTAACTCCTAGCTTAGCTTGCCAGCAACCAAAAGGAAGCCAAGTCCACTAACTATGATCATTCAGGATGAAGCCTTTCACTACTAGTTGTATGCATAATAGCGAGATTTATAATAACCAATTCCTTCAAGAGCTGTTACTGTTATGCACAAGCTTAGCAATAATATGTCCATGCAACTCCCTTAGCAGTTTTTCTTTAACCACAGTCACAAAGGACAGCATTAACTAAAAAAGTAAGGAACTTCCCAGAACTTTACCCCTTTCCTACAACTGTCTGCACACAGTTAGGAGGGAAAGTTAACGCTCTTCTTTAACTCTTTTTACGTACTGCTCGCACTAGCCCCCACACCATCTGTAACAGGGCATGCAGAGACTAAGCATAGCACCCACAACCTGGCATTTGACTGCAGAATATTACATGTTTATATCAAAGTGCATTTCACAAGTCTTAGGTTCCCCCTTCCCCAAATGTAAACCTCTTACCTGCCCCAAATTTGTCTCCATCAATCTTGAAAACCTGGATCTGAACATTAAATACATTGACAAGGGCTTTGTCTGTGACCTGGAGATTCTCCTCTGCACTGCACTTGTAGGAGTTCCCTACTGTAGCTCTCAGCTCACTCATGCTGTTGTTGGATGCTTCAAACTTTGGAACTGTGTAAAGAGAAAGTCTCATTACAGAATCCTGAAGAGCAGGAGTTGTAAGCTCAAAGAGCTTAAATTCTATGCATTCATCCCCAACATTTCTAACATGTTATTTAACAGAGGCAACCCTTTATAGTAGTAGTCACTGAAAGTAGACTTCTTAAAAGTCCCTACCTTTTGCTTCAGAAGGCAGAGTCGTGCTTACATTCACACCTTGCAGGAAGAATTTTTCAGTACTTCCATTCTTTTAAAAAAGAAACCAGTAGTTATTTAAGCTAATGATGTGCAACATAAGCTGTTAACACTCCAGTTCAATTCTGCATGCATTTCAAGAAAGGTTTTCAAAGGGTAATCCACAATTGGGATTAGCATCCAAAGGAATTGCTTAGTTGCACTTTTAAAGGTAAAAGCTACAGGAGGTATGCACCTTAGGGGAAGTTACTTTGGGAGAGGGAAGGGAGGCAGAGAAAGGGGGACTGTTGCCCCTCAGACTGCTGACTTGACCTCTGCACTAAAGGTATAGTCTTTAGGCCACTAAAGGTGGCCATGCCTTAACCAGGCTAGCACAATGATCTCACCTGTGCTACAGATACTGCTTTAAAGGAGTTCGGTACCCTCCAGAGATGTGGACAGCCATTTAATAGCAATAGGTCTAGGTGATGGCATTATTAAAAGCAGCATAAAGCTGACACACACAGTGGATTCAGTCCTCAAGGGTCCACAGCTCTAATACAGCACTGGGGCAGGGCTGTAGGAAACAGGATTTCTAACCATCATAGGAGTCCAGAAGACAAGCACGTGTGGCTCTTGGGCTGTACACAGAATATTATTGAGGACTTAAATCCAGTTCCAGACTTCTATGATTAGATGAGATGCTTATTTGTCACAGGCTATTCCTCTGCTACAGCAGAGCTGTTCCCAGTTTGGGCAAGAAGCTTTAGAGAATAGGCAATATAATCTTAAAAGAAATGCCCATTACAAACAAAATAGATGTCTGTCTATACATATGAGTGTACATACATGTATATCTTCTTTCCTCACAGGAGTTACCAAGGATTAAACCCTCTAAATCCCAGTATTAAAAACAAAGAAATTGCTCCCCTTCCTGTAGCTGCATCTTTTTTCTCTTGTACTGACCCCAATTAGTTAGTACATGAGAAATTCTGCAGACGCTACATGCTTTGTCTAGAGATTCTTACCAAAGCAAAGCGGAAGATAACCCTTGTTTTGTCAAAAGTCAGACTCAAGAAGGCCGACGTATTGTCGCACATCCCAGAAGAAGTTGTATTACGTGGTATGAAATTCAGCAAATCCAATCCCATCTATGAGAGAAGAGGATCGATTATGACATTTGAAGAGACATCGCCGTATGTTCAGTCGACTTCTAGCTTGCTTGTACTCACACGCATACAATGCTGTGTTTGCCAACACATTTTACAGACAACTGGGCAGATACGTGCAACTTAACTAAGTTACCAGGCTGGTACAGAGAACAAAGGGCATCTTTGCATGCCTAATGAAGCTTTCCTGCAGCCCTGACTGGCTGTGGCCAATAACCTGCTGCTTTCTCCACACTAAGTTTCTTTGGTCCAAACAGCATAAGGAAAAACATTAGTAACCACCACTATGCAGGGGGCAACATGCCATAAAATACTGCTTTGACATAATCAAGGGAACTGCCTGTAAGCACAATCATCTTGCACATCACTTCAAAATGCTTTAGCTTTGCCCATGGTACATGATTTTATACTGTCTTATATCTGCTGTGGGTTAAATGCACTTACTAAACAATCCAATAGAAACCTTTAGTAGCTCTTAGTTGACTCGCATGCGACTTTGGAAAACCTATTTGCCACCTCCTCACTGGTCATTACCCTAGAAATCAGCTGTTCCGGCAGAGCTAGAATGCCGTGTTATAGGACACAGCTTAGGGAATTCACACAGTTAAGGTGCCTAAAAATACAGTCCATCATAACCAGCTACTGTGAAGCCACACACCAGCTATCAGTGCTCACAATTTTACGTCTCAGTCGTCATCATCATAAATAAATGCAAGAGATTCCTTTGCACCACCACATACAGCATTAAGCAGCTAAGTCCTATACAGACACCACCCTCCTCACACTAGGTCCTTTATCACCAAGATCCAACTTAAACTACATAAAAGCAGCCATAATTTGTCTGCACTTGTCCTCATTACCTCAGATTAAGCCACGGGATAGGAAAAAGCAGCTTGTGATCAAAGATCCTTATAACAAAGCTTTACTGAACCTAAACCTTTGCTGACCCTTGGTCATTGTTTCCTACTGAGGGCCTTCGGGGTTACGCTCAGAGCTTCGCCTTAGCAGTTAGCAGGTAATGGGTTTGTCCACAGCTGTGCTTTGCATCAACAATGGAGGGAAAGCAGCTGTGCCAGGGCTGGATCTTACATAAACCATGTAGCATTTTTGCTGTTAAAAATCAGCCATTGAGTGGCTCTTAAGCACTGAAGTCAAACCCATGCCTCTCTGGTGCTGCCAGGAAGTCAACTAAGTCACAAGCCTGTCCAGTTTTACAGTAGTAATAATTTTCCCTTCTAATAGTCATTCACTGTGTTCAGGCTAAATTCCTGTGTTTTATTTAACAGTTTAAAAATCTTGTTTAGATGGCATCTTTGATAATAGGATTCCCCCTGCTCACATCTTGATAATTTTTACTGCTTCTGTGGAGCAGCCATATACACTTACTGGATTTGACAGACAAGTTTTGTACTGTTACTGAATGGAAAAATCTTTAATGCTCACTTTCGGTAGAAGAGAACTATTTGAATCATCACTAGTCTAGTCCAAGTTAAACAATTCAAATAGAGGACAATCATGGACAAACACTACAAAGAACCATAATTTTTAAAGAAGAAAGTTAACCTATAATAATTTACCAAGTTTTCCCCAAAAAATGGAATCTGAAGGCTTTGAAGAAAAAAGTGTACCTTTTCATCTTTTTTCAGATAGGTGATGTTAAGTTGTAGCCCCATGTAGGCAAGTACACAGGTTCCATTGGGACCAGTCACATTGTATTTACCAACTGCAGGATTTGGGGGCGATGCAGTTGGTGCTGGGCTAGTTGTTGGAACCTGGCTAGTAGTCTGTTTAGGAGTTGTAGGTGCTACAGCAGTAGTAGAGACCATATCTTCAGCACATTCTGTCTCTGGAGAGAAAGGAAAACAGTCATTACCAAACAAAATGAAGCTGTGGGACGCTCTACCTTTTTAATCCTCAAGGGAAACGAGGACAAAATTTCAAGTAGCTTTTCCTAATAAAAAAAATAATAAAAGCTGTGATGGCAAAGCATTACGTAAACTCTTGTTGCAAAGTTTGAGATACTTTTAAAGCCTTGCATGTGAAAATGACCCCTCTGCTGTTATTTACAGAAGTTCATGGTGACCACATCTGCTTTTATTCACGCCCGTCATTTCACTATCAAGTCAGGATAAATAAGATACTGCTACGTTGACAGAGCCAGTGTTCCTGCTGTGTGTTCACAGCAAGGCTGAGCTGACTACCCCTCAACACTCTGGGCATTTGTGTGCTAAAAACAGAGGAACCGTTCTCCTGCCTGCTGTTAAAAGTGGTCTCCCAGGAGATGAGCTGTTCTCCTTCCTGTCCCTCCTTCAGTTACACCACCACCTTGTGTGGACCCTGTGTCATTATTTTGGCAATACCCACAGTAACACTGGATCTCTCGAGTCCTCACAACAGCGCTGCGACTCTTCTACCCTTAACAAAGGGATTCTAAGACACTGCTGCAGCTGGCAAATGTTCTGCTCTATGCTCTCCCTTTGGTTCTTATGTCCATTATTTCCTTTAGTCCTGCCTTAGTAGCCACCCACCACCGGGGGGGTACAAGGCTGAGTGAGGATGCGTAAAGCTGCCTTCTCTTTTCATCCAGTTTAGTAGCAACTTGCAAGGCAAAAGGACAGAGAAAGAACAGTGACTGATTTATTTGCCGGGGTACTCAGAAACACCTGGCAGTAAGATCTTAACTTGATCTGGAAACCAAGAAGGTTCCTGCATTGAACATTAAGCCAAAACCAAAGGTCATAGCAAAGACATTACTGTAGTAGAGGCTTTCATGTTCTAAGCCAAGGTCATCTCCATGTGTCAGGGATAACAGCTTGCAGCTTTATAAGGATGACAGCAACTGCAGCAGCAGTCAATTCTGACTCAGAGGCCCTACTTCTAAAGTTTAATTTATACATATCTTGCAGATACTAGATAGCTAATAAATAGCCTCTGAACTTAAACAACAACTTAACTTTCGACTATGGCTCAGAAAGAAACTCTAATCACGCCTTCTGAACTCAGACTCCAAACTAGCACGTTTCCTATTTCTACTCCATTTCTGGAAAGTCAAAGAGCAGAGGGAAGGTGGATGAATGAAGGAGTGACCCTATCTTTTGTAAGCTTAATGGATACTGGTCAGGTCCCAAAATGTGCTAATTTCCTAACAAATAAACCAAGCATCAGCTTTACTTGGTACTTCAATGGAGAATTTCCCTCCATCTGCAAGACCCCAACATGTACAGCCTCTTACTCAAGTTAGCAGAGATGGAAACAACGAAATCACTTCAAGTGAAAGTTTGTCCTAGGTAGAGTCTTGATATTTTTACTGAACTGATTTACAGCCTAGCTCCTAGTAACTCTTCAAGACAGATCTGGAGATGAGATAAATTCTTACATCTTTGACAGTGATAGGAAAGCAGCTGACAAAACAACCAACAGATAAAATTAAAGGCTCCTTTTCTTCAGAGCTGCAGATAATCACTACCATAACACCTCAGTCACCAACTTCTAGGTACACTGACTAGTTACCATTACTAGTGATGCACAGATTTACTGAATACTGACTCTTCTTCCCTTCAGTGAGCCTTGCCCAGATGACCAGCAGAAATATCTGCTAATGAAGGAGCTGCAGGGAAAAAAGGTTAAGGGAGAATTCCAGATCTAAAGTTTATCAATAACTAGCTGACAAAAGAAGGACGTGATCTGGAAAGAACAAGGTGATTTCAGAGTCCAGAATAAAAAAAAAGATAAAGTGAGAATTCTTTAACCATCTGAATTAAAAAGAAAAACTACACAAAGACATAACTCACTGTGCAGTAGGGATAGGAAAAAAATTATCTGGGTGCAGTCCCAAGACAGTAGTAAAAACTTAGGGATTATAACAATTTAAAGAAACAACTGAGCAGGGCAGTAGGGATAACAAGAATGTGGAAATAAACAAACAAGAAAAACAAATAAAAAAACCCAAAACATTGAACTCGGACCAAACAATGTCTACCCCAGGATCATAGGAAATCACGTTTGTTCTGAGGATCAATAGTTTCATCAAGGCAGCAATACCACAGGATAGGGAAAAGCAACTCTGGGGAAGTGATCATAGTAATTAAAGTGTGTATATTAATCTAAAAAAAAAAAAAGAAGAGAAGTAATTAAGAATAGAAAACCAAACAAATGCTGACAAACTTGTGTTGCATAAGGAACACCTTCCCAAAAACAATGCAATTTTTTTTTTAACCAAAGTAATATGTAAGAACAGGTAATAGGTGGTGTTAGAAGGAAAATTATCACCCAGTAGGGAGATTTTATTAAAGTTTTACAGAAGTTTAAAAACCAGCTTTTCCCCAATATCATGGCTTACGTTCAAGCCTGCTGACAACTGATCACTTACCAAACTTATCCAGTATAATAACTGGATCAAGATATCATATTTAAAAAAAAGATTGTTCTGAAGACTGGAGTAATAAAAAAACCCCAACTGATTTCTAAGCTACAAATGTAGGTCTGCATCTTTGCTGCAAACTAGTTCACTGACTGGAACTGACTCATTAAGAGAACGATACACACCAAAATCTGACCCAGTCATTGAGGCAGCCATAAAAGAAGTCAACTCTGGTATTATCATGCATCAGGCAAGGTATTTTTTAGATACACAGGACAAAGTATAGATACTCCTGTAGAAGGCAATTTTTCAATGTATCCATTGCATGCCAGCACTGACTACCCTAGTTTTTAAGGTTCATTTCAACAGGTGCATAAATGAGATTAACAACATAAGAAGAGTTCTACATTTCCCAGAGAAGATCAGACTTCTTACTTGCCCCCAAAGTAAGGCAAAGATTTGTTACTCTCCCAGATACTACAGGTGATCAAACACCAACAGCCGTGTAAACTGAAGAGTGTTGCCCCAAAAGCAAAGGACACAAACACACCATGAAGTAGTTTGTCTTCTAATCAGTAGAGCAGTGAAATTAGAAAATGCTTTTCACTACAAGCAATGAGGACAAAAAGTCGTTTTGTGACTCAGCCCGACAGAGAAAGAACACCACTGTTACAGCTTATATAAGGCCTCCTGCAGGAAGATGTATCTGCTCCCTACAGAGCAGTTCTCTATTGTCTGCCATTATAGCACTAATTTTCCCCAGAGCACACAGTAACTAGTTCAAACTACTTTGGTAGAGGCATAACACTTGGAAGTTATCAGATACTTCTTAAACTAGTATTTTGGCCATGTGCCCAGTCGACCTACTGCAACACAGGTTTACACCCATAAATACTCATGTACAAAACCCACGGGAACACAGCACAGTATCTCCTAGTCATGGATGCTGACACCCCTACAGAGAAAACCTGGAGCAGGTCTATTCATTTCAGAAGATGCTGCTATCGGAGCCTTGGATCCGATTTGTACCTGCCTAAATATGATTAGTCAGAACTTAAAAAGAAATAATCTATTTTTGGAAATATTAGCTCACCAAGTACCTTTTCTGCTACAAGATACCTACTGTTCATACTGAAAGTGCCATTTGTGAGATAGGCTTCCAAAGTAACATTGCTAAAAGTAACGTTCACATTCTTCATATTGACTTGCTTGGAGTTGATGCATCTATATTTTGTGCCCATATATGCCTGAAGAATATTTTTATGTGATACTTTCTTCACTTCTCCTGTAAAAAGATTACATTACATTATTACGTAACAGTATTTACAGAAACAAATCGGTATTACATCTGGAAGGGTGCCACAATTTTCATTTTACCTGTAGTTGAATTATGGAATAAAGTTGCATCTGACAGATTGTAGTGGAAAACTAACTCTTCGACTTGGTACTTGTTTGCAATTTCTGAGAAATTCAGGCTTAATGAATGTCCTGCTCCAAAACCCAATACCAGAATTGGATGAGATGTGTTACCATTACCACATGAGCTCTGTGGCTCTACTGTAGCATTTTGTGGAAGAGAGAAGTGTACGAACTGCAGGGTAGAAAACGAAACACATGTAAATGGGATGACAGAACAGCTTTTCCTTACCACTTTTTAAATATCCTATGAAACTGTGATAAAACATACAGTAGACATTCATACACATACAGCTGACATTCATATATGCTATAAGATGCCTACTTATATACCTGTATATAGCAAGTAGCATGTTACTGACACTTGGATTTCTAAGAATATTGTTCTCTGAAATAAATACACAAAACAATACACACTCACAGCACCTCTTAGACTTTTTCCCCCCTAAACTAGCACTTTGAATTTGCAGGTACTTATGTACTAGGTAAATCAGATCTGACAAACTCTGGACATGTGAAAAGCTTTGTTTCTTGTAGTACAATTGAGTAAGAAGAAAAGCAAATGGTACAGCCTACATAGTTTGGCTATCATACTTTGAGTTTATTACATATTGAGAAGTAATTTGGTACCTGAAGACAAATAGAATGTTTACTCGAAAGTTCTGAGCTTACTGCTTACAAGAAGAAACAGCCAAAAGCATGTTATAAAAGCAGTCACCTCTGGATGCAAACTTGCATACCAGTATCAGCAGGATTTCAGACCATCAGCACCACTGAAAAAGTAGACTATGCAATATAAGTCTCAGCTCAAATCACACACAGTAAGTGCACCACTGGCAAAGTAGTAGGATTTTTTAATCTCACATTACAGTGATGGCTAGGAAAAAATCAACTTCAACAAGACTGCCTCAAAACATGCAACTGCTGAGATTATTAATAATCCACAATTCCTGGTCAGTAGTAAAGATACCAAAAAAATAAACTGAACAGCAGAGTATTTGTGAATAAAAATTCTTAACTTTCCTTAACAGGCTTTTGCTGTTAATATGGAACAACTTGTAGGCATTGCACTAGCCTGTAGATACACTGAAAGCTAGAAATTTTCTCAGTAAGATCACAGATTCCAGGGAAGTTTAAAAGCTACGTGCCAACCACCATTTCAATTCAGATTTAGTCCACGTAAGTATAACCAAGTTCACCAAAAGACAACTGGTAGCATTTTTGCCTTTACAGTTCCAATGAAAGCCATTGTAGCGACCAATAGGACCGGTAGGGAATTTCAGTCACAAAAGTAATTTCACACATGTATTGTTTGTGGTGGTTTCAGGCAGCCTTAACCCTGTTTAATTAGAATAAGCATCAGTAATAAAGAAGAGTTGATGCAACATGACTTAAGCATTTTTCACGCTTAAATATTTGTTAAAAGTTTAAATATTGCACATACAGAGAAATACCATACAGTTTATAAAGACAAGTTAGAAACAAGCAGCAAGATAACCCCCTTACCTCTTTTTGCCCATTGCTTTTGTATTCCACTGAGAAGGCTACTGTCATATCAGCAATTATGCAGACCTTACCACTTGCATCTTTCACCTCAAAGGAAGAGGAAACCTGTAAAAAGCCTGTTAGGAATGACAAATGGTTAACCTGGCATCACACAAGTTTTAATTTTCGATCCCAAAGAGACAAATACACACAACTGTACATTTTAGGAGAACATCCTAAACAGCATTTGAGTTTGGAAACTTGGGCCTTAACAGTCTCTATACTAGCTTCAACATGACTAACTGAGGACAAATTTAACACCCTATTCATTAAAAGACAAAGCCACCCAAATCATAACTGTTGACACGCTGGGTCCTCAGAGGGTAAGAAAAACTTGCAACAAACACCAGCCATACTGTTCAAGGCAGCTCCTCAGTGTTCACCCTACACAGCAACTATTTTGCAAGCTTCAGCCAGAATTGACTTAGCATATTTGATCCTGCACGCCTATAGTGCTCAGCCATCACCCCGCAGCGCAGCACACCGCACCACACAGCCTTCACTCCCACTGTACCAGGACACTCAGCTGTACATGCACTGAATGCAGCATTTAGAAAGCCTGGATTGACTGCAGATGTTTTGGAGAGACTGCCAAAAATAGCACGATGGAGCGTGCCACCCTTGCCAGGAGAACTTCTCCTTACTGTCATCACGCTCTCTGTGCACTTGAGAGGAGGATGAGGGCCAAGACCTTGACACAGTCTGAGGTTATGTTTTCCTGACTGGTTTAAGCTAACCTTTAACCAAAAGCATGTTTCCCCCACACACACGCTTGCTCCCCTCCAGCCCTACGTGCTCAGAGCAGTAGTACAACTGACCACACTAGTACTGACTTGACAGGGTAAGAACATGTGGCAAGAGGACCACAGGATCGTCCTTTCTGACAGGAGCACAGACTTAGATGCATTGTCAGCATCCACTGACAATGAAACTTCACCTAGGGGACACGTTGCAGCAGGCTGGATGGAACTGGGAAGCTGGTTATCTCATACTTCATTTGCAGTAAGGGTTAGCTGGACAGTGCTCCTGTAACTGAAATCACACCAAGGTGTTCCCAGTTCTTTATTGTCAAGCATTTTGTTTTTCTGGTTCTCAATTTGTCACCATGCACACATCTGAAGCAAACCTCACTATAAAACGCCTGCAGCATTTTCATGCTAGCACTTTATCAGCTCACATTTGCAACAACTTCACTCTTGCAGAAAACCTGATAAAAAAGAAGCTGCAAGATGTAAACCGCTATCTCTAGCAAATTAAAGCTTTAAAGAGTCAAACATGCTAATCCATTTAACCGCTGATACAGCAAAAAGATCCAGCTGAGGGATTATCCATTAGCTAGCTTCCCTCCCCAGGAAGTTTTCAAAAAGCAAATCCCAATTTTAAAACTCTTCACTATGCAACTATGGTGCATACAATTGTATTAAGAGAATTATAAGGAAAAATTGGACTTTTGTCAGCTGTACTTTGGTAGAAGGCCCTTCAGTTGTAGGAATGCATTGGAAACAATTTCTCTGGCACTCAGCAAGCATTTTCCCTTGTTGCCTTCCCCTTAGCAACAACATACCCTCCCCCAGCACCAAAGGTGGTCACAACTTAGGCTGGAGTTCATACACTTCACCCGGTTATTTAAAGAATCTAGACTTGAAAGCAGAGATACACAGAAGAAAGAAATTGCTAAGAAAGGATAGTGTAGAAAACTGATATTTCAAAGGAAAACTGTCCTACCTTTGCCTTTATGTCCAGCTCAATGTTCATTAAGGAACATGTATTCACAAAGAAAATGTTACTTCCTGCAGTTCAGAGCAGTACTAGAAACAGTCGATGCTCCTCTGCATGGAAGTTTCAATTTACGAAGCTTCCTCCAATTTGAATTTACATCTGGAACTTGTTTATATTTTACCCAAGCACTTGTTTTCTCAACAGCAAGCTGCTTACATTTTCTTGAATATTTCTAGTACAGCTTAGAAAACAGCATAAAGGCAGGGAGTGGGAGTCCCCAGCTACTTGAACTGACACTACCAATGGAAAATATGCTAGAATGAAAACCTTCTATGTGCATGCCGACTCCCTGGTTTGATAGCTATTAAAAATCTGGGCAATTTTAGAGCTAAAAATAAACAAATAATAGGCAAGAATTAAAGAAAAAAATCAGTTTTAGAAAGACATGAAGGTGAAAGAAAAGACTGAAAAACAATTAAGAAAAATGTTGCTGACTTAAAGGAAAATGTGACATACCTGCCCATTAGAGATGATTCAGAGAACAACAAAAGACAACGGCTTTGGTACCAGAAAGCACCAAATGGAAGACAGATTTGGGGAATTAAGAGCTAACAAATCACCCTTAGCAAGTTTAAGTAATAGAGAATAAGGGGTGTGAACAAACAGTAAAAAATACAACCTGCATAACTACTATATTTTTGCAAGGTTAAGTCCACACCGTGATACGAATCACGATTTTGTTAGTGTGCAACAAACACCAGAAAACCCCATTCCTCCTTAAGAAATGTTCAGCAGCTGCTGGATTTGCAGGGTCAGTGATGAGACGGACACATTCAGCACGAGACTCTGAGCTGTCCTCAATGAAGTGGCAAGAGGGCTGTTTCACTGCAAGTGAGCCGACGTACACAAGGATGGCAATCGGAAAGCGCCCTGTACTGCAGCATCATCTGCTCCCGTGGTCTTGGAGGAATGCATATGAAATGGAGCGAAACAAGGGACACGGGTGCAAAGAAAGATTAGCAAAAAAACACTGAAGAACGAATCGAGACACTGAAGGAAAGTAAGTCCTGCCTACTCTTCACTCCAGCCAACTTAAGGCAGAGGAACAGCTCGCCGGGTTTGGCAGGAAAGCAGCTGTTGAGTTTGTGAAGGCAGTTTCAGTGTCGACTAGTGATTAATGCATGAATCATCACCAGCCCACAAATAGTAAGAGCCTACAGTCAAAATGTCAAGAATACAGAAAAGCAAACTGATGTTGAATCAATCTGTCCTGGGAATATTTCTAACTAAGTTACATAAAGTATTGCTCAATTTTATCATGGCGTATCTAAAAGTTGAGAATATTGCTTGTACTTCTCATAACAATATTGTTATTTGCTATTTAACACAAAAACTGATACAGCCTCCAGTTTCTTCAGACTTTAAATGCTCTTCTTAATAAACTGCAGCACCCTATGTGACAACTATCGTGACAGAGCAAGTGCAGCACTTCAGATTTACACAGCTGAACAGCTCCTAGACTTTTCAACAGCAAAAAGTTGAGTTTTGTGAAGTTCATTATTCATTTGGCTGGAAATATTATGTTATGGACATCTAGCAGAGGAATCATCAAAAGTGTACTAGCACCAAAGAAATTTCACTTAGTTCAGATGCTTCCTTTGTATTCTAATAGGTTCCAAAAAAGTGCTGCTTCGTATTTATTCCAGCTGCATATTTTCAATTGAAAATCGTAAGATTATCTCTCCCTTTAGACCTCATTTCTGAAATTATAGTCTCATGCAAGAAAACACTGAAGGTAAAACCGTTGAAGCAAGGCTAGATATTTTACTTGAATTAAATCCCACATCCTTCCTTATCTAACATACCTACATCAAAAAAACAAGCAGAGTGTATTAACACTTTGCGATAATAAACAAGTCAACCAAAACTAAGACTTTCTTGGTTATATAACAATTTGTCTTAAAGAAACCTACCACAAAAAGTTAAGTTTAAACGAAAAATTACAAAGCTAACAAAACAATCTAGCACATTTGAACAATCTAAATCTGAGCCCTTTTGAACATGGCTCTGCGAATGGCAGGATTCCCCACCTCTTGGCCACACAAAGATGCTTTCAGGTTTCAACCTTTTCATAATCAAAATCCTGTTAGCCAAGCACAGCTACCCTTGGGTTACTCTCCCATATAATGGAAAGCTACTAAGGGAGAAAGACTAATGGTTGTTGTGCTCTAAAAAAAGCAAGCCTATATTAATGGCAATTGTTTACACTGTCTGCTTGCAAAGAAGACTTCAGTTACTATAGTTAATGATTTACTTTGTCTCCAGTTTTTATTAGAAACATGGAACATTGACAACAAGGATCTCAAACACAAAAACTACTTGTATATAATTTGGGGTTTGTTACTATATTCACGTTTCCCACATAAGTAAAAGCCTTTTTAGTATTTTTCTGCCTCCCTCTTGGAAGAAAGGACAGCAAGCCATTCAGATCCACCTGGGCACATATTCCACATCATCAGTAGTTTAAGCGATACAGTAGGTATCTAGGGGTCTGCAGTTCCAGTGAGTGACTATGGCGTTGGGGAGGAAAACCACGGTTGCAGCGCAGCCCAGCTAACTGCTCCCCACAAGCACCGCAACAGTAGTTCAGAGTATCACACCCACAGCCTGGTCGTACACATCAAAGACTCTCAGCTACAGCCTACCCTGTAATTACTGCAGGGCAGTACTCTGAAGGTAAAGGATGCTCGCTGGCTGATCCCGGCGCTACACAGTCATTCTGTACCTAAGCTGCAGCACTGCTGTGTTGCCCTGCACCTTTGCCCAGATGTTCTAAGGTTCTAGATAAGAAATGCTGGTTCTTATCTAAAAAAAGGCTTATTTTCCATTGTATATGTGAACAGCAGTGCCCAGTAATTTACTCATTCCAATGGTTCAGAAGGAGCTTGTCATCTCAATGCCATTTTGTGAACAACTTCAGACTGCTAAGTCTATGCCAGAGAAGGGAATGGAAAAATCTCTGAAGAGTTATGCCCTTGTCTAATCATTTGTCTTCTAATAGAAGCACCATTCCCAGAGGCACACATGATACAAGTCCCTTCTCAGAAGACCGAGTCAAGATCACTTGCTTAGGATCCGGGATCTATACTACCTTGGGATAGTACAGAAAAAATATTTTTTTTAAGCTCTTCTTTTTTTTTTTGAAAGACCACACTATTTACCAACCCTAACATTTCTGGGGAACAACTGAAAGCAGGAAAATCCCTTGACAGACTTGATATATTAACCACTTGGCATGAGACAAGGTGGTCTTCATAAAATTACAAGTTACATTTACCTGTCACTAATGGACTCAGAAGACTAAACACTGGCTATCTGGAAAGCATAGCAGGGAAAGACAAAGTTGAACTCTCTTCAACTGCTGTTAGACACACTTGAACACAAACACAGTGACAGAAAGGGGGAACAGAGCTTAATTTAAGGATAGATGCAAGTACTTTAGGGGAGAAGCGAATCAGTTGCACTTGTGCAGATGCAGCACCTGTTCCTGATCAAGTTCCTGATCCAATTCTAGAAGATGCAACCTTACCAACTAACAGGGGCAAATTCATGCAGTCTCAGACTATGTTTTTGATATTGTTGATTTCCATTAAGGCAGTAAACATTTTGTTTCTCAAATCAAGTTTGCAGATGGATAACCTTTGTCTTTATAAAAAAAATATAAAAGTACAACAGCATTATAAAGGAAAGACTATTTAGAAGCTGTACACTTGCCATTTGGCCAGAGAATTGCACAATTGCATCAAGTTTAGTCACATGAATCTTCTTTATGGTTTCCTATCTAGAGGAAGGAAGTCCTGGGGTAGCTCTACAGCGACTGATTACATGAGTCCACCAGGAGGTCTGAACTCCCATCGCTAGACCTTTTTCAGTATTCAAACAAGTTCATTTTGCACTTGCTCTGCTGTATCAAACCACACAACTAACACATCCTTCCATTCAAGGTAGCTGGCAGCCCCAAACATCCTTTTGGAGGAAGGAGCACTGTGCTGACAACTTAAAGAGAAAGCCCCCCTAGAGGAGAGGATATTGGTAAAAAGATAATAAACCAACTGCCTGAGCAAAACCACTCTCCTAGTCCTATCAAAAAGAATAGATCTCACCCCTGTAAACTGAAGGACATAATGGTGCTCAAACTGAATTTCACAAACTGAATTTGGCCTTGTTAAGAAATCAGAAGCCACTGAAGTTTAATACAAGAAAACTCAATGTATTAAGTGTGGACTACTGTGCTCAAGTCTGAACACTGGAGAGGGAACAGCTAGACAAATGCCCACTGCTCAGAGCTGAACCACATTTGAAACTCTGTACTCTACTGCCAAGGCACTACTAACACTCTCACACTTTGAATTACAATAGAAAAAGTAGTACTGACATCCAGTGGTGCTGTCAAGTGACAGAGAAGGTTAAGAAGCTGTTACCCTTAGATGGCAAGGGATACCAGTCCATTTTGAATTCAGATGTACAAAAACCATGGAAGCCTGATGTACCAAAACGTCAGATACATTTTAAAATAGTAGGCTCATAATTTAGAATTAAGAGAATGTAATGAAGCATTAAAATAGCTGTTGTAACTAGTGCCACTCACATACCCAAAAGGTTCTCCTGCCAAGTTAAAGAGAATAAATACCAAGAAATACATTATGGTACCAAGCTTCTGCAAAGAATTTCCAAATAATCATGTCTGACTTGAGAAGAAAGACAAGCTGTTGCAGTTAAGCTGCAACAGGCAAAGGCAGCAAGGCGTGCCTTCTTAGTGCTAGAAGTTAGTTATCTTTAAGACATAGAAAGGCTTAAGAGAGATAACAGTAGTTGACTTCTCAATAAAATATCCATCATTTCTTTTAGTAGGGTTCCTCTGTACCTAGAGATAATTCTTCAGTTTATTGTCTGCTGCTGATTAGAAATCACCCTATTCACTACAGAACAATCTAGAAGCAGGTTATATCAAAAAAGAAACTTTTAAGTCAGCCTGAACAGAAACCTCAGGAGCATATCTCAACAGCAGCATGTCAGGGAACCTGAGGAGTTCTTACTCGGCAAGTAAGAAGTTACTCTGAAAGTCAGAAAAGCTGCCAAAGCCAAAGCTGAGTACCCTATCACATGACGACAGGCTTGGGACTAGCACAGAAATTCAGATCCTTAAAGACTGTGTCAATACACTCAAAAAAGCTATCAAGCAAACACTATGTCAAGGGCAGCATTTGGTAAAACAATGTTGTTTCGAAAGTCACACAACATAAGTGGTTGTATTTCATGAAAACTACTTTATGCTCGGTCTCAGTTCCATACAGCTAGCAACGCCAAAACTGAGGAAAACAATACAACACCAAGTTACTCACTGGCTGGAATTTATTATCCAAGTTTCTCTCAGCTATCCCTACACTAGTAGCAAGGTTTGAAATTCCCCTTCGGACTAGAGTTGTGCAATAGAAACACGTGGATTATGTGTCAATAACTTTGC